GCCGTGGCGTCAGCCTAGCTCAGCAACCTCAAACTCCTGGGCTCAAGCAATCCTCCTGCCTCAGCCTCCCGAGTAGTTGGGACTACAGGCATGTGCCACCATGCTCAGCTAATTTTTTTTCTAAATATATATATTAGTTGGCCAATTGATTTCTTTCTATTTATAGTAGAGACGGGGTCTCGCTCTTGCCCAGGCTGGTTTTGAACTCCTGACCTTGAGCAATCTGCCCGCCTCGGCTTCCCAGAGTGCTAGGATTACAGGCGTGAGCCACGGCGCCTGGCCTCCCCTCTTCTTAACTGGCAGCCTCAATCCTGGCCCCATTTCCCCAGGCCTGGCATAGGGTCTGCCTGTCAACCCGTCCATGAACCCATCGCTTCCTCCTGTAGGTCACTCGGCAGCAGTACCAGAATGGGCTGCTGGCCTCACGGATGGAGAGCAGCCCTCAGTTTCCCTTGGATGGGTGCGCCGTGTGCACAGAGAACTGTGCCGAGAAGTCTGAGCTGCCTGTGGTGGACGAGACCACAACTCTTCTCAACGAGCGTAACTCCTTGCTGCACAAAGCCTCCCATGAGAGCGCCATCTGACAGGAGGGCCCGGGGTCCCCCGCCCACCCTGCGGGGGCCTCCCCAGTGGGCCCACATGAAGAGAGGAAGCCTATTAGGCCAGAAATGATGCAGATAGATAGATAGCCTGTCAGACTGAGCAGCCAGATGGCCCCCGTCTGTGGGGATCTGGCCTCCAGCAGGGACCTATGAACTGCTCTGAGGTGGTGCCTGCCCAGCCCTGGATTGCTGGTGCGGCGGGCCAGCTACCATGAGCAAAGGCTGTTTTTTACTGAGAGAATTTCTAAACTAGGCTCATTGCTCCTCTTTTTAAATATTATTTTGGGAAGGGAAGACAGGGTTAAGGAACTTTATTTAAAAAAATTTTTTTTTCCAAAAAAACTTTAAAAGGGGAAGGGTCTCTCACCCTGGGAAGCAATAGCCATAATCTGCTCCCAACCATGACCTTCCAGCTTATGGCCCTGACTCAGGGAGCTCACCCTTCCTCCTCCTCCTCCTCCTCCAGAGGTGAGATCCCACAGCCTGCAGGAGGAGGGTTGTCTCCTGGGAGGAAGACAGCTCTTCCCAGGAAGCAAAGAACCAAATGGCGTTGAGTTCAGCTGCCTGGACACATATGCCACAGCTTATCTGACATCGCTGAGGCCGAGGGCTTCTGGGTAACTATGATCAGGGACACGATAATCCCAGCTACAGAGAGGAGCACATCTGCTGTCAACCGCCCGACACAGGAATCTCCCAGAACTCTGCTAGCGGCCTCTCCTGGTGAGTCAGGACTCTGCTGATCTGCTGAGGACTCTCCCCTCAGCCTCCCTTCTGCCCCTTTGGACAACTTCCCCCTGTAACGGGGCTGACTCAAGAGTGTTAGGCAGGGTCTCAGACTTTTGTGATTGCTTATCCCTGCTCCCCAGGCCCTGCCCTCACTTTTACCAAAGGTTTCCCCCCTGTGGGAGGGCGTCTGCATTAGAGGTGACTTGTCTGGGTTTTCGCTTTTGGTTCCAGGAGTGAATCTGGTCATCAGCGTCTGCGTTGTTAGCAGTTAATACCACCCCCGCCCCACGAGGAGTCAAGGCTCAGTTGTTGACCCATGAAGCCCTTCTTTCCAGACTTTTTATTTCTAATCCTAAAACCCCAGTCCCTCTTGGGAGTTGGAGACAAGAGGACAGGTTGGAAGCCACCCAAGCAAGTTCTTTATGCCCTTTCTTCTGTGGCTGGCTGAAGCCCACCTGACCTTGTGCACCTACTTATGGAACCCTGGGAAAGGAGGGTTCCACTAAAGGCATGCAGCTGGCAGCCCCATTTCCCCACAGCTGAGTGATCCTAGCATGAAAGGTCATACCAGCCTTTGCTAAAGCTAGTGGCACTGTGCCGAGAGCTCAACCCCCATGTGAAGTCCTGCCCCAGTGCCTCTTCCCTAGGGCTGAATCAGGTCCTGCAGCACAGCTCCAGGCTTCTCATCGTGGGGGAGGCTATAGGACCCAGGTCCACATTGGCCCTTCCCTCAGGGGCAACAGGAGCTGGGGCCCAAGATCCAGGTGAGTGACAGTTGGCAGGCTTCTGCCTGAGTATCGTTTATTCACTCCTTTCCTCACCAGTGGAGTCACCTGAAGTTTTCTGCTCTCCAGGTGCCTAGAGAATCCTAACTCTTGGGACCAGGGACTGTTTTGCACCAAGGATGCCTACCCCTGGCCAGTCTGAGGTCTTCCCTAGTCACAGGACTGACTCCTAGAAGTCTAGGGAGAAGGTGGTGATGCCTGTGGGTTCTTAGCTATAAGGAAAAGAGACACCAGACCTTTGTTCCTTGTTGAGGGAAAGCCCTTAGTTTAACCCAGGAGCATCTTGCTCCCGAGTCCTCATGGGAGCAGGCAGAGCTGTGTTCCCTAGAGGCCTGAGTGCCAGGTGGAGCAAAATGCATTGGCCCAAACCAAGTGGGTGTGTGTGAAGCAAATGGGGCAGGTGCACACACTTCCACAGCTACCTCTTTGCACACACGGTTACTACCAACAGACTGTCCCTCCTTCCCCTTCCTTATCGATAATCATTTCTTACAGAGGGTCATAATTATTTCCATATATTACCGGTTCAGTGACTTCCTCCTCCTAGTGCAATTTTTCACTTCCTATTTCCATGTTTGGTTCCTGGGATGAGCCATACCCTGGAACTGGCCTACCCCATGTGTCTTCCCATGAGGGAAGGCCTTTGCAAATGGCATCCAAATGGGTAGGCAGGTCACGGCCGTCATAGCAAGTAACTCATATTTATTTTGCATAAGGTTTTAATTTGTATATTTTTGTGATTTATTTTGGCATTGTTATGAGTTTGACTCTCGGGGAGTTTTGTTGTTATGACTCTTGTGTCTTTTGTCACAAAACAATGATAATATTTGCTAAACAATATATGGAATTTATTTTTGATTGGTAATAAAAAATGAAATATGTATAAATCTTGGCGAGTCTACAACCTGCCTGTTTGAGATCTATCAGTGTTCAGTATCTGTGTAGAGATATGCGTGGCTGTGGCTGGCTATCACTTGTGACAGGGCAAGGGGCAATAAAGGATTCTGGGACTAGTTAGTGGTGAAATACCAGCAGAATTTATAAAATATATATAATCAAGGCTATTGTCACAGGAGTTAGAGAGTGGTGGCTGCTGGTAGACATACAGGGCAAATGTGCCCAAGTGCCATAAGCATAAACTGGATACCATAGGGTCTTCTGCCTGCAGGTCCTGGGCGGGGCAGTTGGGATGAGCAAATTGCCCCCACTCCCTCCCCAGGGGACTGAAGGGCACTTGATCCAAAAGCATGACTGTATTGTTTTATAGCATGCAGTTGCCTTTTTGTTCACACTTACAGGCTGGTTATGGTTGCAAAGTTGGGGTGTTCATCCCCTGAAGAGCCCAACTGAGAGTGAGCTCACTCCTGAAGAGGCAGCTGTGCAGACTCCTCCTGTGGTGTGCATAGGTGCTACAGGCTGGCTCTTGTGAGTGAGCATGCTAGGGCTCAAACCAGCCAGGCTTGACGCAGTAGACAAACTGGGAGAGTGTTTGAAGAAAGGGAGGCACATGGGTAGGCCACAAAGGTGAGAGGATATTCCAGATAAAAGGAGTTGCACATGCAAAAGTTTGTGCATAAGTGGGCAAGAGGAAATTACCTTCATCCATCTATTCCACACATTTAAGCCCCTGCTACACACCGGGTGCTACTCAGTGTGTTTGGTGAGGAAGACCCCACCAAGGGAGCCCGTTACTCAGGGCCTTTTAACTTGCTATCTCCTCTGCCTGGGACATTCCTCCCAAGTTTTTGGTGAGGCTCCCCCTCATTTCATTTAAGCCTCTATTCAAATGTCTCCATGAAGAAGCCTTCCCTGACTACCCCATCTCAAATAGCATTGCCCCAATCCCTCTGTCTCTGTATCTTGCCTTGTTTTTCTCCATTGCACTTATTAGATATTAAAATATAAACTTGTGTATTTTCAGTTGTCCCTACACTAGAATCTAAGCTCCATAAAGGTAAGGACTTTATTTTACTCCCACTCTAGTTCCAGCATTAGAACAGTACCCAGTATTTTGCAGGCACTCAGTGCAGGAAATATTTGTTGAATGAATAAAGGAATGACTCTTACAACACATTAGTACTGGATGACGGGAGTGGGGGGGACACATAGTTCCTTAACTTAGTCAAAAGGGTCAAGGAAGATCACTTGGAGGAAGTAGCATTTGAGCTAAGACTTGAGAGATGAGCAGGAGTTAGCCAATGAGGTCACACCCAATAGCTAAGGGTTTAAAACTCAAGAATAAATATTTAGATAAAACACTGAAGTGTCTTGAATGTAATGGACCTGTGAGGAAAATAGCTTGGGATGGCCACTGAGGAACCTAAAGGTCAAGTGGCAGGTGTCTCCATTGATGTTGACTGGTCAGGGCTGGGGCAAAGAATGACAGAGTCAAAGGAGAAGCTGGTGAAGTACCTGAGGCCCCTACCACTCCACGAGCAGCTTTATTTGCCCTGTACTGGATTTCTTTGTATCTTTGATTATTGACAGTTTAAATGACCATTTGTGTTTTCTAAGTTTGATCCAATTTTTCTTCCACCTGAAGGTTGTCTTCCCCAAAATTAGTGATAGGCTGTTTTCCAGAGGAGCCAAGGAAACAGTAACTTGTCAAAATGAGGGCCCTGTCTCTAAATCCATAGGGAGTTTTCCCTGTCTTTCCTCTAGAACTGTTCTTTGCTAGTTAATGACTTTTCAGGCACATGATTCATTTCAAGCATGTCATCTGTTCTTTTTTAATTTCTGAAAAATGTTTTACTGTAGCTACCTTCGAAGACCTCAATGCTAACATTTTATCTTAACTTGGAGACAGAAGTTAGAACTAAAGGAGATGAATCTATTATAATGTCCCCACATTTTTTTTCCAAAGGAGACATGACGATCCAGTGGAAAGGCTCAGTAATGTCTTTATTGCTTCTGCTGGTGGCTTACTCTGTAATCTGCAAGAGTGAGGTAAACTACTCAAAGGGCACCAGCATCATCGGGATAATAAAAACTGAAGCATGTGGAGATGCTGCTGGCCTAGTCACAGTTCTGCAATGTAGAAGGTACACTATTACCATCTTTTTAAAAGAGTTTTTCACTAAATATTTTTTCCTAAATTTTTTCACTAAAAATGTTTTTTTTCCTATGGTCATTCACCATAGGCTTACTCCTTTTTACACATTACCTTTCACACAAACATGTTTTACTTTGTGGCCATAGTGTGCATACTTTTTTAGATTGTTATTTTCATGACATAGCAAATTGTTTATATAGAATCCTTATGATTATTTTTAAATGATATAAGGTCTTATCCAAGTCTAATTACACTAGGAAATTTGAAAAAACATGCAAGGGTAGAGAAAAATACAAAAATCACTTCATCTGGACACCTATAGAGAAAACTTGTTAGTAGCTGGTCTATTTCCTAATCAAAGATCATATGTAATGGATAAAGAACATTCCGATAGTGAGGATCATCTTGAATAGTTCTTGTTGATCCTAAGCAATTCTCCTCCCAAGGATGAACTGTGAGAAGTGGAATTACCATATCCAATAGTTCCTGACGGGGCTGCCACATCTTGTGTAGCTGGGAAGGTGACCAGGTATTAGGTCACGTTGGAACCCAACATCTATGCTGAGTCTTTCTGAGCTTCACTTTTCTCCTGTAAGAGATTAATTACATGAAGTAGCTGTCCGGATCCCGTGAGGCAGTAGTTTTGTGTGTTTACCAAGCTCCTTGAGAGCAAGGACGGTCTGAAGTCCCCAGACCTATGGCAGAGGGGCCCGCGATACACATCTTCTATAAACCTTAGCTTCCCGACGCCCAGTTCTCATTTCAGCCCTCAGTCCTGTAGGTCAGGGCGTTAAAATCCTTCCTTGTTCCCGGGCCCCTTTCCTAAGAAAACCGCACATCTCCCAACTGAAGGCGCGCCGGGACCCGCGGTTCATCCGAGCAGCCTCTCCTCTCCTTAGCCCGGGACGTCCCTGAGCACTAACTCGGCCTGCGTGCGCGCGGGAGTGACCTCGGAGGAGTGGTATTCCTGGCGCCGCGCGCAGGCCGACAGCAACCGGACACTGGAGGCCGGCCCGCCGCACCGCGTCCTCCCGGCGCCCGCCACCCAGCCATTGGAGCTGCGGCGGGGCCAAGAGCCCCACGCCCCCGGCCCGCCCCGCGCCGCCGCTTGTTTACTCCCCGGCGCAGCCTACTCCGACCCTGGGACCCGCCCTCGCCAGTCGCCTATTGGCTGGGGAGACGCGAAGGCCAGCGACGATTGGCCCGGGAGAGGCGGAGGTGCGGGGCGAGCGGGGTAGGCTGCGCGAGAGGCCGAGAGGGGGCAGCAGGCGATGGCGGCGGCGGTGGCGGGACGGCTAGGCTGGTTGCTCGCTGCGCTCTGCCTGGGCAACGCCGCGGGGGAGGCAGCGCCTTGTCCACGATTGCTGGGCTTCTGTCTGGAGGAGGACGGGGCTGCAGGCGCGGGGTGGGAGCGCGGAGGGGCGGCGCGGACCGGCCCGGAGGCCACCTTCCGCCTGCGCCTCTTCGGCCGGGGCTTCGCCAACAGCTCCTGGTCCTGGGTCACCCCCGAGGGGGCAGGCTGCCCTGAGGGCTGGCCGGCCGCCGTGCCCGAGGAGGCGGCAGCCCCCACGGGCGAGTGGCGCGCGCTGCTGCGCCTGCGCGGTGAGGCTGTGTGCCCGCACTCGGCGCTGCTGGCGGTGCGCGTGGAGCCAGGCGGCGGGGCGGCCGAGGAGGCGGCGCCGCCCTGGGCGCTGGGCCTGGGGGCGGCCGGGCTGCTGGCACTGGCGGCACTGGCGCGGGGCCTGCAGCTGACCGCGCTGGCGCTGGCGCCGGCCGAGGTGCAGGTGCTGCGCGAAAGCGGCTCGGAGGCGGAGCGTGCGGCGGCGCGGCGCCTGGAGCCCGCGCGGCGCTGGGCGGGCTGCGCCCTGGGCGCGCTGCTGCTGCTGGCCAGCCTGGCGCAGGCGGCGCTGGCTGTGCTGCTGTACCGCGCGGCCGGCCAGCGCTCCGTGCCCGCCGTGCTGGGCAGCGCGGGGCTCATATTCCTGGTAGGCGAGGTGGTGCCGGCCGCCGTGAGCGGGCGCTGGGCGCTGGCGCTGGCGCCGCGCGCGCTCAGCCTCAGCCGCCTGGCCGTGCTGCTCACCCTGCCGGTGGCGCTGCCCGTGGGGCAGCTGCTGGAGCTGGCGGCGCGGCCCGGGCGTCTGCGCGAGCGCGTGCTGGAGCTGGCGCGCGGCGGCGGCGACCCCTACAACGACCTCAGCAAAGGCGTGCTGCGCTGCCGGACCGTGGAGGACGTGCTCACGCCTCTGGAAGACTGCTTTATGCTGGACGCCAGCGCGGTGCTGGACTTCGGCGTCCTGGCCAATATCATGCAGAGCGGCTACACGCGCATTCCGGTGTACGAGGAGGAGCGCTCCAACATCGTGGATATGCTCTACCTCAAGGACTTGGCCTTCGTGGACCCCGAGGACTGCACGCCGCTTAGTACCATCACCCGCTTCTACAACCACCCACTCCACTTCGTCTTCAATGACACCAAGCTGGACGCCGTCCTGGAGGAGTTCAAACGAGGTGATAACCCGGGGCATCGCGGAGGGGACACCCATGCCAGTGCCCTCCCCTGGAAAAGGGTGGAGGTTTTGGAAGCTTGGTGGATAGGATCCCGCCCCTGTGGAGGGCAGTGAGACCTCTAAGGACCCTTTTCAAGAATGTGTTGGCCTTGCAGCTTGGAATGATGTTTTGAAATATTTAAAGGCTGTCGTTCAGATGGGAATGGAATGCCCTAAAAAGCAAACACTTTTAACTTCTTTTGGTATAGTTCCCCGCCCCGTTTGGGGGGGTGTGTCCACTTAGTTCTAACCTCTCAGCTTTTTGCCTCTCCCAGGCCGTTTCTGTGTGCTTGGCGTTGTAGCAGGTCCAAACTCTTGGATGGAAACTAAAAGAACATAGAAAAGAAAGTAGTCCCCAGATATCTGGGTGCTGTTATCGGCATACACATAATATCAAATTGGCTGGACCTGTGACATTTCCAGAGCATTGTTAAGGTCCCTGACCTTATTGCAGATAAGGGAATGACTCCTAAATTCTTTCCTACAGGTATGGAGGAAACTTTCGCTTTGTTTTCATAAAAAGCAGTTTCATGGATACTGATTTAATCTCCCCCTCTTCTGTCTTCCTTTTTTTCTTTTTAACCTCTTTTCTAATCTTAAGTATGTATCCTACGTTCTCCCTTGACTCTGAATTTTAACCCTACCTTTCTCCCTGGTTTATTTGAGCAGTTCTAATGTTGAAGGTAAAAACTTTGAGACCCTCCAGGTGTGATGATGTGGGTTCCTCTGCAGTCCTTTCCATTGTACACCTTGGAGGTGTGCCCCAGAGCTTGGCCACCAGCCATGGTTCTCACACCTGAACACCTGCAAGATGGGAGTAGGGGCAGGTTTAGGTTGAAATGGTGAAGGAGGGAAAAGTAGAGAGGGAAGGCCACAGTACAGGCTGCTCCTGTTCTGGGCTGGGTGGCCTCTGATCACCTCTGGAGAACTGATCAGGTTTCAAGCAGCCTGATGCCAGGGTGCTGGATGGTTTGACCCTAAAGACTGCCTGATATGAGGAGGAGAATTGGGAAAGCCCCCTGATATTCCTGGCAGCTGGGAAGTCTCCTGGCCCAGGACCACATGGGAGGTGCTCTCTGAGCCCCAGGAGAGTCAGTGCGGGAAGCCAGGCTTTGTGATAATGACCAGTCTCTCCTGCATGGGGCGCTGCCATGTGCCAGGCTCTAGTGGGCACTCTTCATGCATCATCTCTGTTAATCCTTGCAGGAGGCCTGGGGGCCACGTTTTCTGTTATTACTGTAGGTCAGGAATGCGTGGGAGACTTGGGTGGGCAGCTCCATAGATGATCTGGTGCTCTTGGCTGTTTCTCTAGAATATGGCCATGTAGCCCTGCTCTGGGGAGGGAACCTGGGGTGGGGTTCAGACAGAGCTTCCTGGTGGTAAGTACTCCGTGTGGGCCTCCAAAGCCCCTGAGGCACTGGTGGTTCTTCTGAAGGGGTGGCTGGCAGTGTGGCCATGGAATCCGTAGGATGGATTCCATCCCACCTCTGCCTGCACCTAGGCCCTGGGAAGGCTGCTCAGCTTCTCATGGCTCAAGGTCCTCAGCTGTTAGTGATAAGAGTAGGTAAAAGGATCTGGGGGAGGAGACCTTATATAGCACTTGCACTTCGGCCAGTGCACATGCTGAGTGTCTGTCAGGAAGGTGATTATCTATTGCTCCTGGGCAGGCTTGCTGATAGGTGGTGTTTGCTAGCTCAAGAGCAAGGGGCTGAAACTGGAAGTGCAGATGCTATTTCTTCTAGGCAGGTCACCAGACTTCCTTTTAGGGGAAGAGTCTTTTTATGGGAGATCTCTTTTAGGGGACTTTTATGGTATGCCATAGTTGTCCCTTTAGCATCATAAGCATTCACGTTTTTAGGTTCCTTAAGAAAATGCTCACTCTCCTGATTGGCTTCAGTTGACTTGTGCATTCTACAGCCATGAGTAGTCACCAGGTACAGATTTGGGGCATGGAGGTGGAGGGGGGTTGCCCTGTCTGGAACTAATCTTAAGGGAGAAGCTTCAGGAGTTGGTCATGATGCTCAGGCTGAGGTCAGTGAAAGCTGTTTTTCATTTTCCAGACCCTTAGCGTCAGGATCTTCACTGCCATCTGTGGTCTTGCCCTTCAGATGTGACAGTTGAGCTTGACCCAGGGCTGTTGGCGATCCCAGTTGGGGAGAATTAAAGAGTTCCATTCACATTGATCAGGAAAGATCCTAGAGGCAGGGTGGGCCCACAGGGGCTCGTGTGCTGTGTGAGGGACTTGGACTTGATCACCAGGGCTGTGAGCAGGGAGTGGCACCATCTGGATTGTTTTTACTGATCAGTGACTGGTGTGGACACCAGGATGGGGAGACCTGTAAGTGGGATCCAGATGAGGGGTGACACAGTGGGTCTAGAGAAGAGACCTCAGGGGGCATCAGAAGGTGGGATTGGGGAAGTTTGGTGGTTTGCTGAGGGGCTGTGGAGGGAGAGGGAGGAGCTGAGGATGAGTCCAGATTTCTGGCTGCCCTTCCCTAAAGGCTGAGGGTGGAGAGCAGGTAAGTCTGTTTTGGATGTTGGAATCTGTGTCTGTCTAGTGTCCCAAGAGGCAGACTCCTAGCAGGCAGTTGATGTGAAATGTGCATGTTGCCTCAAGCCACAGGGGTGGAGCACAGAGCCTAAACCCCAGGGGAAGGGGGAAGAGGAGGAGAAATTGTCAAAAGGGAAGACCTTTGAGGGAGAAGAGCAGAGGTGCAGAATGTCCTAGAAGCTAAGGAAAGACAACATTTTCCAAGGGGAGGTGAGTGATCAGAAGAGGCCAGCAACCAAGATGCCCTTAACCTTTGCAAGAGCACATTGGTGCCATGGCTGGAGCAATTTGGGGAACGAATGAGACATGAAGACAGACCTTCTGCAAAGTGTGGCTGCAAAGCAGGAGCCAGAGAGCAGTGGCTAGCAGAGGATGTGGAACAGGGGAGGAGGCCTTCTGTTCTTTGGTGTTAAGATGGGCAAGTCGAGCAGGTTTAGGTTGAAATGATGAAGGAGGGAAAAGTAGAGAGGGAAGGCCACAGTACAGGCTGCTCCTGTTCTGGGCTGGGTGGCCTCTGATCACCTCTGGAGAACTGACCAGGTTCCAAGCAGCCTGATGCCAGAGGATTTGGGGATTGAGTGCCTTTCTGCTTTAATCAGACTGTTCTAGAAGCTGCCAGGCAACATGCTGAAAAGCCTCTTCCTAGAAACCAGTGGAGGAGATTTCTGGAACCTGAAGGTTGAATGGGGAGCCTTTAGCCCCCTTGACTTCCTTGCTCCTGTGGCAAGTACACCCCATTCTGGACTACTCCAGAATGACTGTGTCTTTCCAGGGACATCTGGAGCTTTCTCTGCTTCTCTAGTTTAGTGCAATCCTTTGGCGGGTATCTTTATTTTTATTTGTTAAAGTCCTTATCTTAACCTTCTTAGGCATTCCTGTGCCTATGAACAAAGGGCATGTTGCAGTCTTCATGCGCGTGAGGTTTTAAAAATCAATTCCCTTCCCCGTCTCTGCCAAGTGTATGTAGTGGTGGTACCTCTGAATTTCTGGAGCTGGAGTCCCTGGCATCTTGGCAGCTGCCATTCCAGGCCCTGTTCTTTTGCTGCATCTCTTTGGGAACTTTGTAACCTGGTCACCCCTTAGTTAGTGCAGACTTGAGATGAAACCAATTATTTTGTGCAGATAATCCCCAGGAAGAGTGAGTGCTTTGGAGCTGTAGTAAATAACTTGTGCAGCTGCTCCTTCATTTACAATAGGGTTGGGTCCTGATAAACCCGTTGTAAATTGAAAGTGCGTTTAATACACCTAATTTAACATCATAGCTTAGCCTAGCCTACCTTAAATGTGCGCAGAATGCTCACATTAGACCACATTTGAACAAAAGCATCTAACACAAAGCCTATTTTATAATGAAATGTTGAATATCTCATGTAATTTATTGAACGCTATACTGAAAGTGAAAAATAGTAGTTGTATGGATACTTGAAGTATAGTTTCTACTGAATGTGTATGGCTTTCACACCATCGTAAAGTCAAAAAAAATTGTAAGCTGAACTGTCTTAAGTCAGGGACTGTAAAGCCATTAACCCCTGTCTTCTCTGTCAACCCAAGTGAGACTATTCAAGGGCATTCTTCCAAGGAAAGGATTAGGCTGAATGAGCTTTTCAAAGTCTGTGCTTTAAACCAGCTGAGTTCTGGTTTACTGTCAGAAGGAAGCCAGATGATTGCCACAATTCGGAATGAGTTCCTGCACATTACCTTTCTCTTTCTGTTAGTACTCATTCACCCGTTGCTTTAGGAAAAAAGAGGGGGGGAGATTAAACTCCAACTGCATTGTTAGAATATCCTCAAAATTAGGCATTATGAAATGATTGGAGTACCCTTGAGACTGATAATGAAAGTTAAAATTCAGCTGGGTGCAGTGGTTCACACCTGTAATCCCATCATTTCAGGAGGCCAAGGTGGAAGGATTGTTTGAGGCTAGGAGTTTGAGACCAGGCTGGGCAACATCGTGAGACCCCTTCTCTACAAAAAATTTAAAAATTAGCCCTGCATTTTTTAATGCAGCTACTCAACGATTTTAAATCACACACATGGCTTGCATTCTGTTTCTTTCAGACAAGTCTAAAGATTTGTGGATGAAAAGCACTTACCAGATGCAGAGTAAATTCCTGAAGCTTCCCGAAAATTGCCCAATACTCTGAGACTTCAGTTTTTGGTTTTTTTGCAAGTCCCAGATACTCAGGAGGGTAAGGCAGGAACATTACTTGAGCCCTGGAGTTCCTGGCTACAGTGAGCTATGATAGTGCCACTGCACTCCAGCCTGTATGACAAAGTGAGACGCTGTCTCAAAAAAATAAAACAACAAAATTAAAACTCTATACAGCTTTTCCAGAACTTTCTGGTTGATGTCAGCAAGACATACCATTGCACCTGCCTGTGACTCTAGAGCTCACTCAGTAGAGTACGTGTGCACCTATGCTAGTAGTTCCATCCAGTCGGTCGGCTGGGCCTCTGTGCTGTCAGGGCTGTTTGTCCTCTCCACGGAGAAGTGAACTTTAATCCCCCCAGCTACCCTGTTGTGTGCCTGCTCCTTGCTTTGGTTGCCTCTGGACCGCTCAAGACATTGTGTCTTCACATTAAATCACATGGCCACTGTTCTGGGGAATCTTCAGGCCCTGCATTTTTCTGTTTATTATTGAATCATCCCAGTGTGTCAGGTCACGGAGAAACGTGTGTCTATTTTATGGAAGTTTGAAAGCAAAGGAGAAGTTAATCCAGTCTTGTCAGTAACCTGCTGAAGGGAGCAGCTTCCTGGAAGAAGGGGCTGAGAAGAGGCCTGTCTGCTCTGAGGCGGCCATGTAGAACCTGGGCTTTGGTTCCCATACTGCTGGCCAGAACTGTGTGTTGCACCCTTGGCCTTCCTGGTCTGGCCTTGGCCAGACAGGTTTGTATTCTGTGGCAGGGTAGCCATGGCCCTTATAGAAATGGTACCCAACGCAAACACGGAGGGGTAGAAGGCATCTGGGGCCGCCACGCTCCTGGGTCAGTGCCTCTGGCTCAGCAGCACTGAGTAGAGTTCTTGAGGGCCCCTGGCCTTTCCTCCTGTGAAGGGGGAGATGACGTAATATGGTCATTTCCACCTTTAATTTTTGTCCAAGGGTACTCGAGCATCCTGAAGGATGATGCTTTATTTAACTAAGCCCATGGTATGCAAAATATGATTCAGACAAAGATGTGAACTTGATTTTTTAATTTCTCAAAAGATTCTTTTTTGTTGTTGTTGTTGAGACAAAGTCTCACTCTGCTGTCTGGGCTAGAGTGCCATGGCGTCAGCCTAGCTCACAGCAACCTCAATCTCCTGGGCTCAAGCAATCCTCCTGCCTCAGCCTCCTGAGTAGCTGGGGCTACAGGCATGCGCCACCATGCCCGGCTAATTTTTTTTTTTTTATTTTTTTTTATGTAACCAAGATGTTTGTATCGGCTAATTTTTTTCTATATATTTTTAGTTGGCCAATTAATTTCTTTCTATTTTTAGTAGAGACTGGGTCTTGCTCTTGCACGGGCTGGTTTTGAACTCCTGACCTTGAGTGATCCTCCTGCCTCAGCCTCCCAGAGTGCGAGGATTACAGGCGTGAGACACCATGCCCGGCCCTCAAAAGATTCTTGAGGCAAATACCCCCTCACATGCAAGTTCAGGCCAACTTTTGCCCTCAGCTTCTTTCACTAGTGACAAAGAAGGGCATAGTTGAGATTCCCTATCTCAGCCTGTGGCTGTGAGCACCCGAAAAGTGCCAAGTCAGAATTGAGATGTGCTGTACGTGCAGAACACACACCGATTTCAGAGACTTGGTGCAAAAGAAAGGTGAAAGAGGTTTTTTTAGGAATATATAGATTACATATTAAAATTATATTTTGACTATATTGGGTTACTTACAATATACTATTAAACCAATTTTACCTGTTTCTCTCGAATTTTTTAATGCAGCTACTCAACGATTTAAAACCACACACATGGCTTGCATCCTGTTTATTTCAGACAAGTCTAAAGATTTATGGATGAAAAGCACTTACCAGATGCAGAGTAAATTCCTGAAGCTTCCCCGACGTTGCCCAATACTCTGAGACTTCGGTTTTTGGCTTTTTTTTTGCAAGCTTATGCTTCCTCACTAAACATACCAAATAGGAAACTAGCACGAGAAAGATGTAGGAGCAAGGTGGAAATTTCTAGAAGAACAAAGTTTTTGTTCTTCTTCCCTGCAGTTTGGCCTCCGAAGGGCCATTTATCTTCATCCCCTGGATGAGACCCCTCTAAAGGGCAGCTTCTAGAACCAGAGAGACCTCTCACAGTGTCCGGTTGGGTGGCTCTGCTCCGCTCCCCTGTTTAGACTGTCCCAGGGAGCCTGTGTTTCTCAGGGTGCTGCCCTGTTAGCTCGTGCCTGCAGTCTGGTTGCTGCATGAACATTAGTGCTCTCAGCTGGACGCATCCTTATCTAAACCACATCATGGCTGGGAGTTGCACAGACCGGGGGCTGGATCCCAGCTCTGCCCTTCTCTGCCTGGGGGCCTTACGCACAAGAGCATGATCCTCTGAGATTTCCTTTTTCTATTGGTAAAATGAGCCTAATCCTCATAAGCATATTGAGAGTCTTAAGTAAAAACCTAGGAAAGAGTCTGGCCTAGTGCCCGGCACACTTTAGAAGCATGAACAGTTTAGCTTTTGTCCTTTTGGTGGGTTTGTCCCAGGGGAGACTAAGAAAAATGGGAGGTCCCCAGCAGGCTTTTACATGAGTGTCCTCCCCAAACAGGAAAGTCCCACCTGGCCATCGTGCAGAAGGTGAACAATGAGGGCGAGGGTGACCCCTTTTACGAGGTCCTGGGCCTGGTCACCCTAGAGGATGTTATCGAAGAGATCATCAAGTCCGAGATCCTGGACGAGTCTGAAGACTATCGTGAGTTTTGGCTCCTAGCTTTGGTTTTGTGTCTCGACTGGTCCTTAAGCTTCCTGAGGTACATATGTGCCAGAGGCCAGCGGGTCTGTGCTGATGGAAGCCAGCTGGGTCCCCAGCCAGGCCCCATTCTTAGCCCTGTGAGAGCCAGCATTGCCCCCTCTCGGGAGGGCTCACTCCTGCACTTCGATGCAAGCCATGGTGGTGGTCCATCCCAGCGGAGGCCTTGTGATCCTGGTGCTTGCCTGGGCTCTGTGGGCAGCTGTTTCCTCTACCACTGAGGGAAGGCCCTGCCCTTCATGGGCCTTTTCCATTCTTCCGTCTTCCCTGGTGCTTTTGTTTGCACCGGTTCTTTACCACCAAGAGTCTCCCCAAAGCAGACGATCCTGGGGCCCTTGGTGGCATCTTAGTAGTATCTCTTTTATAGGGTGACACAGGGCAGACACAGAGCCTGTGTTTGATGGCTGGGGCTACCCACCCCTATGAGCTTTCACGTATGTCACTTTGCCCATGCGTCTATCGCCAACACAGCATCTTTAATTTGGTCCCCGAGATGGCCATGTGGTCTCCAGGTTAGCTGCTGCCGTCTGGTACCAGTAATCCTCAAATGCCCACCTCCCAGCCACAGGTCTCTTGATGGCCGGGGAGGCCTGTTATTTTATATAAGCTGCGTTGCTACTGTATCGGCATTCAGGGAGCAGTCTCTTCTGCACTTCTTGGGACGCATCTGGAATGTGGGCTGCTGCCCCTCCGTCCTGGGCCCTGGGATTGCCGTGTGGTGGGAATGGCAGCCGGTGCCATGGACGGGTCCCTGGGGCTCTGCAGAATGCCATCTACTTTGACACTGCCTGGCCTAGGGAAGAAGGAGTGGGCAGCATGGCCCCTTGGTTTGGTCACGTTGGTCAGATGGGTTGCTGTGCCTAATTGTGCCATCTTCTTCCACCTCAGGAGACGGTGTGGTGAGGAAGAAACCCGCCTCTCTCATCGCCCCTCTCAAGCGGAAGGAGGAATTCTCCTTGTTCAAGGTGTCTGATGATGAATATAAAGTAAAAATCTCACCTCAGCTGCTCTTGGCCACCCAGCGCTTCCTTTCCCGAGGTGAGGGGGTAGGGTGGTCCTTGCCCCCTGCTCTCGCTCACTGCTGGGTCCGGAGACCACCCAGGGCCTGCACTGACTCTGCTCCCCATGCCTAGTCAGCAGAAGAGTCTCGAGGAGAACTTCTGTGCTTCTCTCTGCAACCCTGCCAGCATCTTGGGTCACCTGAGAGGCGGCTCCTCTCTACCAGGTGGTCGAGAGTGGGGGCAGGTGTGTGCCCTGCCCCACTCTCTTGTGTGGTGTGGAGGCACGGAGGCACGGCATCTCACAGGCTGTCCAGGGAGAGCCTGGTGGGCAACCGGAGTAGGGTGTGGCTACGCATGCCACTGTGGCCATCGTGGACACTGTCCCTTTTTTCTACCATGGGGCAGAAGTGGATGTATTCAGCCCCCTGAGAATCTCCGAGAAGGTCCTGCTGCACCTGCTAAAGCATCCCAGTGTCAATCAGGAGGTGAAGTTTGACGAGAGTGACCGCCTCGCCGCACACCATTACCTGTACCAGCGCAGCCAGCCAGTGGATTACTTCATTCTCATCTTGCAGGTGACTGGGATCCCAGGCCTGGAGCCTCCTGCTTCCTCAGAGACTAGGGAGGGTCTGTGAGAAGAGGCGGGGAGCAGGGAGATGCCCCCGCCTCCAAGTAATCGGGGTTGTTGGTTCCTCCTTTTGCTTTCTTCTCTTGGGAAAGGTAATCTGTCACATCTGTTTTTCTCCCTTGCCCGCCCGCCTGCCCAGGGCAGGGTTGAGGTGGAGATCGGGAAAGAGGGCCTGAAGTTCGAGAATGGGGCCTTCACCTACTATGGAGTGTCTGCCCTGACAGTGCCGTCCTCCGGTAAGCACAGCCTCCCCTTCCCGCCGGAGCCCACACCCCCCACGAGGCGGTCCGTTGTCTCTGGGCTGCCTGGAGGGAGGGGACAGCATTTCTTCATTGCTCATCTGTGTTGAAGATGAGCAATCCCGTCCCTGAAAAACATCCTCTTCCAAATTCCTACCCACGTTCCTTTTCAAATCAAGGGTGATTTGTGGGGTGGATCTTCCAGGCTGTGTGCTTGTCCTCACCAGGGTGGGGGTGGGCTGCCCAGCTCCAGCTTCAGCCGTCACTGATTGTTCCTTTTGATAGTTCACCAGTCGCCAGTGTCCTCACTCCAGCCCATCCGCCATGACCTGCAGCCCGAGCCAGCCGATGGCACCCGCTCTTCTGCGTATTGTCCTGACTACACCGTGAGAGCACTCTCCGACCTGCAGCTCATTAAGGTGACAACAATAGGGCTGCTCACGAGTGCTAGCTTTGGCCAGCTTTGTGTCCCCAAGGGGCTAGACCGGCTAGTCCCAGACTGCCCAGAACAAGGCCATGCATTTGCCTTCAGGACAGAGGCTTGGGCTCCCTGGAGGTCCCACTTGACTACTGGTGGTCTGGTCCCGTCTCCAGGCCTCTCCACTCACTTTCTTACAAACACTGCTCAGTTGCTTTTTTCTGCACTTAACTAGCTTAAAGTTCTTCCTTTGTAGGCCGAGCATGGTGGCTCACGCCTGTAATCCTAGCACTCTGGGAGCCCAAGGCGGTGGATCGCTCAAGATCGGGATTTTGAGACCAGCCTGAGCAAGAGCGAGACCACGTCTCTACTAAAAATAGAAAGAAATTAATTGGCCATAAAAATATATAGAAAAAATTAGCTGAGCATGGTGGCGCATGCCTGTAGTCCCAACTACTCGGAAGGTTGAGGCGGAAGGATTGTTTGAGCCCAGGAGTTTGAGGTAGCTGTGAGCGAGGCTGACGCCACGCACTCTAGCCCGGGCAACAGAGTGAGACTCTATCTCAAAAAAAAGTTCTTCCTTTGTCCTTTTCTGGCATGGTGTGACCTCTTGAGCCTATCTTTTGCATCTCGCTTCACAAATTGCATCTACTGGGTAATGCTTCCCATCCTCCAGGTTACTCGGCTGCAGTACCTCAATGCACTCCTGGCGACGCGAGCCCAGAACCTGCCGCAGTCCCCTGAGAACACTGACCTCCAGATCATCCCAGGCAGCCAGACCAGGCTCCTCAGTGAGAAGACCACTGCCGCAGCAGGTGAGTGCCAAACACCATGCCCTGTGGTGTGTCTGGACCCTGTGGCCAGGAGCTCTTGGCCAGTCCTTGCTGCTCATACACACAGGTTTGCTCTGCCCTGCCCTGTGTTCTTGTCTCTCTGTTTTTTTCCCCGTTCTTTTCCCTTTTGGCTGTTTTTTTGTTTTTGTTTTTGTTTTTTGAGACAGAGTCTTCCTTTGTTGCCCGGGCTAGAGTGCTGTGGTACAGCCTAGCTCACAGCGACCTCAAACTCCTGGGCTCAAACAATCCTTCCGCCTCAGCCTCCCCAGTAGCTGAGACTACAGGCATGTGCCACCATGCCTAGCTAATTTTTTGTTTATGTATTTTTAGTTGTCCAGCTAATTTCTTTCTATTTTTAGTAGAGACGGGGTCTCGCTCTTGCTCAGGCTGGTCTCTAACTCCCGAGCTCCAACGATCCGCCCGCTTCGGCCTCCCAGAGTGCTAGGATTACAGGCTGAGCCACCACGCCCAGGCCCTTCTTGCTGTTTTTGGTAGCTTGAATGACACTGAGCTATAGACCAATTGGTAGTTAGTCTATTAAGTCAACATTCTCCCTCAAGGACCTCTTAGAATGGAATTACTTAATTAGATAATTGTTGGTAATAAGATCTAATTCAGACACTTGGCCATTTAGGATTAGGTTACGTGGAAAATGAAGATTTGGGTCAGCAGAACGCCGGCTCGGAGGGTAGGAGTGTGGTAGACACCATCCCAGAAGCTGGAGGGCACTTGCTGAGGAGCTTGGTCAGTCCTTGCTGACGTGGAAAGCACATCCCATCCAAGGGTTCCATTGTGAGCAGGAAGATCATGTTGAAAGAAATAGACTTTGCAAATAAGAATGAGGGGCTGTGGGATGGAGGGAAATTCAAAAGGAGCCTGAGGTGTGGGCTGTGGATTAGAGTGTGAAAAGTCAGGGGCTTTCTTGTTCTTGGGTTTGAAGAAGATACTTTTCTCTTTTTTTTGGTGAGACAGAGTCTCACTCTGTGGCCCAGGCTGGAGTGCAGTGGCTTCGTCATAGCTCACTGCAGCCTTGAACTCCTGGTCTCAAGTGGTCCTCCTGCCTCAGCCTCCTGAGTAGCTGGGACTACAGGCACCTGCCACCATGCTTGGCTAATTTTTCTATTTTTTGTAGAGACAGGGTTTTGTTCTTGCTCAGACTTGTCTCAAACTCCTGGCCTCAAGGGATCCTCCTGTCTCAGCCTCCCAAAGTGCTAGGATTACAAGCATGAGCCACCCTGCTTGGCTGCAAATGTGCTTTTATAAAAGTCCCTTCTGAATTGTGAGGTGACATGCAACTATAAGGGACAGAAAACCCCACTCTGGGCCACACTGATGGCTCAGCCCTGTGGGCTTCACCTCTGAGTGTTGGTAAAAGGGCAGGGGAGGCTGTGCTTAACTCCTAGATCTGGGCATGGGACGTTCCCTTTCTAAAGGAATCTCTAAAGATGCTGCTTTATTTTATATATATATGTGTGTGTGTGTGTGTGTATGTGATATATATGTATATATTTAGAGACGGTCTTGCTATGCTGCCTGGCCTGACCTTATACTCCTGGGCTCAAGCAATCCTCCTACTTCAGCCTCCTGAATAGCTGGGACTATAGGCATGCACCTCCATGCACAGCTGGTGCTGCTCCTTTTAGGGTTGACTAAGCTCCTGTGTTTACCCACTGTAATGTTACTTTATGGGTACCCCTTGTAAAGAATTTCACACTGTCACTTTAGAGTTGGGTCTCGGGGGCCAATATATTGTGTTCTTTAAAATGTGAGCCTTTGGTTTTGGTTTTTCCACTGGCTCTACCTGCTACTCAGACTGCACGCATTATATTGAAGTACAGACCTAACCCAGGAACGATGGTTCTCCCATTGTTGCATCTTTTATCATATACCCAGAGAGTCTTAAAAATACTCTTGGCTTTAGCTGCTCATTGGGCTGGCCTCTAAGAGAATAATATATAGTAGCTATCTGGGTCCTTTTCTCTTTGTAACTGATTATCTACTATTCTGTAGACGTACTGTTGACCTAAGTACAACCTGGCAGTTGCCCCCATTGAAGCTGGCCTACTGTCTTTCGGCTCCATGCCTAAACTCTCTGGGGTCTTCCTGTAGATTGTTTCTGTTAGCTTGACATGTCACTGCCCAGAAAAACTTAATGCTGGTACACACATGGAGATTTCAGTGGGGGCTCTGCTTAAATAGTGCAGGTGAAAACCATGTTCTGGAGACTTTGGCACTAGATCCCGGGGAGAAAAATACCTTTATTGAGATCCTTGGAAGGCCTAATAATTTTAACCACTTCAGGACCGCGCTCACTGGCCACGAAACCTTGCTCACAGCTGGCACTCATAGTCCGCACGATAGTTTGTGCTGTGCATTGATGACAAATCTGTTTTGCTCTTGTATGATGAGGAAAGCTTGAAAGCACTGAGAGCTTGTTTTACTTTACAGGCAGCTTTACTTGTAATGTAAATATCAGAATAGACAACATATACATATATGTTTTCATTACGTTATTTTTAAATGTTCACAATTTTATTTTGATAAATGAAAAATTAGAAAAGTTATATCACGGCTGTCGGCTAAAGTAGCTGTGTGCGTTCATCTGTAGCTGTCGACTACAGTCGACGCTGGTCCCAAAGTGGTTTTTTTTTTTTCCCAAAGTGGTTAAATTGGCAACAGCAGGGCTTGGCAAAGGGCCAGAATCTGGCCAGCAGCCTGTTTTTGTAAATAAAGTTTTATTGGAATCTGCCCATCTGTTCATGGATTGTATGTGGCTGCCTTTGAGTTACAGCAATGGAGTTGAGTATACCATATGGCCTACAAAACCTAAAAATACTGGTCCTTTTCTGTCCCCTATCCTGCCATTTCAACTTCTAAGTCCTCCACATCAGTCATTCATGGAACTGTTTTTCCAAGGGAAAGTCAGCGCTCAGCGCTGTGCTTCCCAACTTCCCTCTGCCATCCGGAGCAACAGCTGTAGCACTGTCCCCCTGGCTGGGGAGTTGGTCCCCTTCATGGTGCTGCCTGGAGCCGAGAGGCGCTGCGGCTTCAGCTCAATGGCTTCTCTCCTTTTCTTTCTCTCTGCTCTCTTTAGCCTTCCCAGTAGACCTTTCCCTCTTTGGCACACTTGGAAACTGCAGTTGATAAGTGACTGTGGACTAGTGAGCATTTTTTGTTTTAAGAGAACACCTGAGGTAAATATCTTCCCTTTCCCTTTCTCCCTGCCTTCCTTTCCCAGCCCTTTAGCTGTGGGGCGAGCGGTGCAGACAGCTCCCCACACTGGGAGGCATTTCCCTGCAGTGGGGAGTGGGTGCTACATTTTATCTTTCTGGAAAACAGGAGGGATCATGAAACACTGCAGCCTTGGAAAATAAAGCCTCCTTCTAGCAGAGGGTGCTGTATTGTCCCAGGCAGGTTCCTCTAGCATAATGTCCTGGGCCCCTTGGGGTCAGAAACCCAGGGGCCCTGCATTCCAGGTCTCTCAGGGGTGGCATGTGTCCTCAGTGGTTTTCTCTTGTGAGGCTGGATTAGGCTGTTTCCTAACTGATCACTCCCAACCCTGCCTTGATTCCTCTAAGATGTCCTGAGGCCCTTCTGCCTTACCTGCCCCTTCCTGTCCTAAAGAGGAGTTGGCACTTGGTTTGGGTAGGACTCTCCTGCTACTGGCTTTGATACTAATTTGCCTTTCCCTCTCCTTTAGGGTCCAACCACGGCAGGCCTGGCGTCCCCATGGAGGAGAGCCCTGGGCGGAACCCAGGAGTTTAACTGCTTGCCAGGCAGCCCCAGATGTGGGGAGCGGACAAGCACGTGGGGAGCTGGAGGGGACCGAGCAGAAGCTTTGTGCCAGCCTGCCCCCACTCCTCCAGGCCACGTTTTAGATGGCCCTTGTAGATGTGGGTCCTGGGCATCCTCAGAATCAGGCATCAATGCCTAGCACCTTCAGCAGGCCATACCCGCCTTTAGGAGGTGGGGTCAGCAAGGCATAGCCCTCCAGGCCTGCGTCTTCTGGAAGGAACAAAAGGAATATCATCATCTCTAGTCCCCAGGGCCCAGCCTTCCCTGCTCCCCTGAGGCTGTGACAGTGCAGTGTATTTATACCTCTTCAGGCCAAGCCACCAGAGTGAGTGCACAATTACTGCCTTTATGTGGCCGTGACCTATACTCACTTTGCTTTTTGCCAATCTTCTGCTGCAGGCAGCACTTTCTGAACAAACAGAGTACACCAGTTTTGGCTGGGAGTTCAAATCCATGGTCTCATCCATGGTGTGCTTTCTGGTTTCCCTGACAATCCCATGTTTCAGAGCACGCACCCCAGCCTCTCCCCTGTGCTAGGCCAGAAGCACAGTTACCCCACTATTCTGTCCCTCTGGTCCTGCTCCCTCCTGTGGAGGTTGCTTTTTTGACCCCTTCCAGGGCCCCTGAGCAAGCCGGCCCTGGTGGCGCTGAGGGGGCCTGCTCCCTAACCTGCCATGCCAAGTTGCCACTAGCAGTGTTGTCGGTTTCTGTGTTCTAAGAGGTCATGCTTGGGAGGAAAGGGCCTTCTTTTTGCATCTAATCCTTTCTTCCTTGTGTGATCCCAGAGGAGAGTAGTGCCTGTTAGATCTGCTTCATGCCTTTCCCACAGGCCTCATGGAGGTGTTGTGTGGCTGTATCGTGCAGAGCAGCAGGGAGGGGGAACTGTTAATGAACCAGGTGGACCCTCATTACCTTTCTTTAAAAAAATAAGTTTTTCTTATATCTCTAAAACACTTCAAGTTCTTTGCTTTTTTCTGTTCCTAGCTACTGGGATTTAGAGAAGTGGGAACGAGAAGGCATTTATCTTTTTCTTCAAATTCATCTATATTTTCCTTCCTCAGTTCTTCAGCCGTGTGGAAACTGGGGTATCACAGGAGCATAGGATCATAGATGGGGAGGGAGGAGGATTTCTGGAACTTTTCTCAAAGGAATTTGGGCCCTTATAAATGGGACCGAAGGCCACAGGAACAGTGGTGTGCCTGTTCCAAAATTGTTCTCAAGGAGTGCACTCAAAGAGCAAACCCAGGTGGGAGACAAATAATTTGAAATCATCTCTCTAGAACAGTGGTTCTTAACCTTGGCTGCACATCGCAATCACCTGGCAAATTAAAATATTGATGCCTAGGCCTGTCCCCGGGCATCTGATTCAATCAGCCTGGGCATAAGGGTTTTTTATATTTTCAAAATGTCTTTAGATTTCACTGAAGGGTTTCATATACCTTTCACTCAGCTTCCCCTAATGTTAACATAACCTCGGTATATTTATCAAAACTAAAAAATTAACATTGGTGCAATGATACATGATACTGTTAACTAAACTACAGACTTAATTTGGATTTTACCATTTTTTTCCAGTAATGTCCTTTTGTAGGATCCAATCCAGGATATCAAGTTGCACTTATAGCTATTGCTTTTTTTCCCTAACTTTATATTTTGAAATAATTAGATTCATAGGAAGTTGCAAAGATAGAGAGGTCCCATGCACCCTTCATTCAGTCTCCCTCAGTGATTATATCTTAATTAGAATACAGTATCAGAACCCAAACTTTGACCCCTATGCAATGCAGGTGTATAGTTGTACATCATTTTGTCACGTGCACATTTATGTAATTACTGCAACAATCGATACAGAACTGTCTCATCACCCCTGAGATCTCCCCTGGACTACCCCTTTAGACCCCTCCCGCCCACCATCCCTTACCCTTGGAAACCACTGATCTGATCATCTCCATTATTTTGACATTTTAAGAATGTTGTATAAATGGAATCATAACAGTATGTAACCATTTGGAATTGGCTTTTTTTTTTTTCACTCAGCATAATTCTCTGGCGATTCATCCAGGTTTGTTTCACGTCTCAGTAGATCATTCCTCTTTATTGCCAAGTGGTATTCCATGGTATGCCTGTCCCATTGAAGGACGTCTGGATTGTTTCCAGTTTTTGGTTATTTCAAATAAAGCTGCTGTGAACATTTGTGTACAGGTTTTTGCGTAAAGATTAGTTTTTTCTCTGGGATAAATGCCAGGAGTGCAATTTCTAGATAATACGGTTGTATGTTTTTCGTTTTTTAAAGAAACTGCCAAACTTTGTCAGTGTGTCTGTAGTTTTTGTTCTCACCAGCAGTGTAGGATGCTTGTTTCTCCTAGTGCTCACCAGCATTTGGTGGTATCTGTTTTTCTCCAGCTGAATGTTCTGATAACTGTGCAGTGATACCTTGTGGTTTCCATTTTCCTTTCCCTAGTGGCTAATGTTATACATCTTTTCGTGGGTTTTCTCTTGGGTGGAATATGTCCATTTCTTTCACCCATTTTCTAATGGGATTGTTTGTCTTTTACTATTGAGTTTTGAGAGTTCTTTATTCTATTTGAGAGTCCTTTGTTGGATTTTTGGTTTGCAAATATTTTTTTCCCAGTCTTTAGCTTATATTTTTATCCTCTTGACAGGGCCTTGTATAGAGCAAAAGTTTTTGATTTTGATGACGTCCATTTTATCAATGTTTTTAGTGGATAGTGCTTTTAGTGTCACAGCTGAGAACTCTACCTAATCTTAGATCCCAAAAGTGGTCTGTTTTTTTTCTACAAGTTTTATAGTTTTACATTTAAGTTCCTAATCCATTTTGAGTTCATTTTTGTATAAGACATAGGACTCAGATCAAGGTTCTTTTTTTGTTTTTTGCCTATCGATGTCCAATTACTCTGGCACCGTTTGTTGAAAAGGCTCTCTTTTCTCCATTGAATAGTTTTGCACCTTTGTAAAAAAGTCAGTTGAGCATATGTGTTGGTCCTATGGGTTGTGTTCTCTGTTCCCTTGATCTATGTGTCTGTCCTTCTGCCGACACTCTTGGTTATTGTAGCTATATAATAAGTCTTAAAATCAGGTAGACTGATTCCTCCTTTCACTTTATTCTTTCTAAAACTTGTTTTAGCTGTAAACTTTCCTATGAATTTTAGAATAATCTTATCTATGCCTACAAAACATCTTGCTGGGATTTTGGTTGGAACTGTGTTAAACCCGCATATTAATTTGGGGGAGAAATGACAGCTTTACTATGTTGCGTATGTCTGTTTATTCAAATCTTTGATTTCATTCATCAGTGTTTTGTAATTTTCTGCATGCAAGTCCTTGCATGTTTTGTTAGATTTAAAACTGTCTCATTTTTTTAAGAAATTGTAAACAGTATTTTATTTTTAATTTTTGTGTTCACATGTTTAATTGCTAGTAGGTAGAAAGAGGTTTTTGTATGTTTATCTTGTAGCCTGAGATCTTGCAGGACTCCCTTATTCTAGGTGGGTGTCTTTGTTTTCTGTAGATTCCTTAGGATTTCCTACATAGATAAGCATATCATCTGCATGATAGTACCAGTACCTAGGTCCTACCCTCCAGGCTTCTTCTGACTTAATCAGTCTGGACTTTAGGACTTTTAAATTTGGTGATTCTGATAAACAGCTGAGGCTGAGAACCATTGCTCTTTGAACTTGTCCGTCAATGAGCAGAGATGCCTTGAGTACAAGAGCCAAATGCTAGGAACCCACATACTGCCCACTTCTCACTTGGTGGCCTGTCTTGCTGTCAGCCAGCATGGTTAACACGCTGGGGCTTTGCTGCTGAGGACAAGGCCTGGGACTCTGCCAGGCGGTCCCTGGTGCCCAATGACTGGCTCCTCCAGCCCAGAAGAAACAAATAAGCTGTGATGGATAATCAGCCAGTTTTAATGAACAAAAAATACTGATCCGTATAAAAAGGTGTTTTTGTCTGTCACTTAAGTGTCCTCATTTTATAGATGAGGAATTGTCTTCGAGGTCTTGCATTCCTGTTTCACCCGTGGCGCCAGTGTCTGAGTGCAAGCTGGCTCTGTCACCGTAGGGCAGGGGCTGCCCGTGGAAAGGGTGTGTGGAGCGCTTGTCAGCTTTCTCACATAGTAACAGTGGCTTTGGTCTTGGCCTGAGAAGGCCACCAAAGTTAGACTCAAAATAACTGCTGCAAAATTGGTTTCACCAAGGTACCTTTTGTAACCCAGAACTCATGTGAGGGAGGCTAAACCTTCATCCTTTAGCCCTTCTCTTAGCCTATGGTTCTTGGTTTAGAGCAGAGCTCTTTAAAATTCACTCTGGCATTTCAGGACCCAGCCCTGCCAGTAGTATAGGTCTACACCAGTGAAATTTGAAACGTAAAGAATGATGCAAGAAGATGGAGCCTTTAGGGAGCTGTTGTGAGGGTGAGTCATCACTATACCCCAGTTAGCAGATGAGGGGCAGGAAGACATGCCCCTGCCTTCCCCTGCATCCCCATGGGCTAAGCTCAGAGCTCCCCAGTGTCCTGTCCTTTGGGTGGGATAAAGCAGAGTGGATATGGCTGCAGGGTTCCAGGCAAGAGCTCAAACTCCAGTACCAGGGGGACATCAGTGCCTTAGGCAAACTAAGGTTACGGGCCACCGCCCCAAGAGTTGGGTGGGCCACAAGCAATCCTCAGCACCCAGGCACTTTACCCCTACAGGGAGCACTACCAGCCGAGCCCAACAACAGTGTGGCAGGCAGGCCTGACCAAAGCCTTTGGACAAGTGGGCACAAGGTTCCCCTCAAGTATCAGCTCCAGCTCATTAGTCTTGGGGCTTCTGGGGCAACCAGGTGGGTCCCAGACTTCTGGTGCTGTGGGACCTCAATCCTGTTGAACAGCCCCCTCCAGACTGTCAGAACCCACCTCCAGTGTCCTCAAGACCAAAATTGTCTAGAGCCATTCCAGACACTATCAGGGTTGCTGCTGATAGGAATGGAGTTCTCTGGAGAAACCCCTGCCCAAGGGCATTGGCCAGCTGCAGAAACACCTGGCATCTGTGTGGCCCACTTTGGTTGCTCTTGTATGTCCTGGATGGCAGCTGCTGGCCACAGGCTCAGTCACCACCTGCAGGAAACTGGCCCTTGTGCAGAGCAAGGGCAAAACCTCCCAGACTCAGGATTAGTGGACACTGAGAAAGTCTAACATCCAGCCCTGGGTAGCTCGGGCCTGGGACTGCTCACTTCTGCTCCAGCTTGGCTCCCGCTCCTCTCCCTGGCCCTCATCTGGACCCACTTTGCTTTCTGCTGCCCCATGGTTCTCTGCTTCAGCCCTTTTAGCTTCAGCCCCAGCAGGGAACGCAGCACCCCTTGACGTGCAAAGCCAGGGAGGCCTGCGCTTTCTACCTGCCGGGGTCGCCGCTGCTCCTCAGTTCTGACGAGGCTGCCTTAGAGGCCTGAGGAAGCAAAGGCCTGAGAGAGGAATAAGATGGGCAAGAACCACAGAGGGTGCAGATGCAGGGGAGGGGAGGGGATGGAATGGTGGCTGTGGGTGACCCGCAGGCCCGCTGTTGTCATCAGCACCGGGTGCGGGGATGCGCAACATGAGCCTGCAGTGCTTCCTGGATGCCCCGCTGCCAGTCTCGGGCCAGCTGCACTGGAGTCATGGAGGCCTGGGAACAAGGATGATGGTCAGTCGTTTCCTCCCAGGACCTCTATCCAACCTCCTTGGCACAGGGGCCTGGGCCCTGCTCACACTCACCACATTCTGCACACCCAGCTTGGCTCCATAGAGCAGCAGCAGCTTCATGGCTTTGAAACGACCATGCCGCACAGCCTCATGTAGAGCTGTGTCCCCTTCCTGTTGAGAAAGGGAGAAGTCATGCTCCTACCCTCATCATGCAGGAAGGTCGGGTTGGCTGGGGCTGTCACTGAGCAGACAGCACCTTTGGTCCTATACCTTTGGCTTGGGCTTCTCAGTCACTGTCCCCTTTGCCCACAGCTGGAAAACCACATGCTTACCTTATCCTGTGCGTTGATATGGGCTCCACACTCAATGAGGTGCTCCAAGCAGTCAGAGTGGCCAGTGCGCACTGCCACGTGTAGGGGGGTGCTCCAGATCTAAAAGCACATGGGGATTAGTGTTGGGTCTGGACTGGCAAGGCTGCCTCCCAGTCCCACAGGGCCACACTTTCTCTTCTCTAGGAATAGCACCTACTCTCCTGTGTACTGCTCAACCGAGTCCCCTAATAGACACCCAAAGTGGTGTGCCCCTTACCTTGTCCCGGGCGTTGACCCGGGCTCCCTGGTTAAGCAGCTGTTTGAGGATGTCCAGGTGTCCTCCACGGCAGGCCCAGAACATGGGTGTCCTGTCCAGCTGCAAATCAAAAGCACCAAAGCACTCTGACCTGCTGGGACGCTAGGTGGGGCACTGGCCACAGGATGGGCCATCCCCAGTTCTCACCAAGTCCCGAGGGTCCACAGTGGCACCTGCTGCCAGCAGCTTGTTCACCAGCTGGCTGTGACCCTTCAGACAGGCCCAGTGCAAGGCTGTACGGTGGAGCTGGAGGCAGAGACAGGTGATTAGGCAGAAGGAACCCAGACTCCTCTTAGAGGCCCCACCCATTCCCGTTGTTAATGGCCAGGTCCCTGAACAGAGTTGCCTATTCCCCCATCATGCAAAGGGCTTCTCCTTCCCCTCCCCCTGGAGGCACCACTGGATTCATGCCTGTAAGACTGGAAATCACCGCAGCTTCCCAGCACAGGACCAGAACACACTGAAGACAGCACTTCTGCAGCCCCGCCTGTGCTACCTTGTCATGGGCATTGGGGTTCCCTCCGTCTGCCAGGTACTTGTCAATCAGGGCCTCCTGGTTCTCAGCAGCTGCCTTCAGGAACATCTCCAGGTCCACAGACTCCACCTGGGCCTGGGGCTGCAGCTGGGTAAGTTGAGGGACAAGACCAAATCATTCCCCAAGACTGGGTACCCGTGACAACACAGCCTGGCCCAGTGGTTCCCAAGCAGCTGATTGAGGACCACCACACTGTTGGCATGTGCAAATATAGTTTTGAGTTTTAATCCATCCCCAGGAGATTCTTACTGAATAGACATTGTGTGTGTATGTGTGTGTGTGTCTGTGTGGGTTATGGATGGCTTGTGTACCCTGACGGATCATACGAAGGCATAACCCCCAGTGCCTCAGCACAAGACCTTATTTGGAAATAGAGTCACTGTGGATATAATTAGGTACGATGAGGTCATACTAGAGTAGAGTAGGCCCCTATCCAACATGGCTTGTGTTAAAGTGGGCCCTAATCCAGTTCTGGCGTCCTTATAAAAAGGGGACGCTTAGACACGGACACGCATGCAGGGAGAACACCACGTGAACATGAAGGCAGAGATGGGGTGATGGATCTACAAGCTGAGGGATGCCAATGATGGCCAACAAACTACCACAACCTGGAAAGAAGCATAAAAGGTTCTCCCTCACAGCCCTCAGAGATAAGCAACCCTGCTGACACCTTGATCTCAGACGTCTAGCCTCCATGACTATGAGACAATACATTTCTGCTGTTGAAGCCATCTAGTCTGCGGCACTTTGTTATAGCAGCTCAAGCAGACAGTCCGCCACAGGGCAGAAACCCTTCCTCTGGGACTTGAGCCCTGGCCACTTATGTTCCCTCCGTCCAGACTTCCCACTCACCTTAACCACGGGCTCACTTTCCCTGGGGGGGACCCTACGTCTCAGTCGCTTTTCTCTCCGTCTTTGAACCAAGTTTTCCAAGTCAGCCAGAGTCTCTAGATTAAGTCTGGAACTGTTAAATCTTTCGAGCTGGGGCAGAAAGTGGGCAGAAGACAAGACCATACCAGCTGTCAGCCACTGGCCGCGGTTAGTCAGGCTGTTGGCTCCAGAGCCAGAGCCTGCCCATGGCACACCAGCCACCCCGCCCTGCCCCCGCAGCACTCTCACTTTCTTCTTCTTCTCCTCTTCCAATTTCAGCTTCTCCCTGGCCAAAGCCTCTTGGGGTGCCATCCTCCCATCACTAGGCCAGCCTCCAGGATCAGGAACTCCATGTCCAAATCCCAACACTTTCCTTTCCATTCTTTCTCCACATACCTGTAGGAACAGGATGTGGATAAAAAATTAGGAAAATTGGAGGAACCTTAGAAGATAGAGTTGTACAGTACCAGGGAGCTCTCTGACAAGAGCTGAAGTACAGAGCTCAGTGCTCTGGATTTGAGGGTCGGCCTTTCCCTCCCTTCTGGAAACTCTGTGGTGGTCTGAGTGTTGGCAAGCTCTTGGACCCCATGGCTGCTGCTGGCTCCACCAACTGTGGTGTCAGCCGAGGCCCAGGGGGACATCTGATCACTGCCTACCCTGCTCCTGTCAGCAGGATGACACCACATCTATTTATACCACTGGACTTGTGCCCAAGTAGCCTCGGGGCAGGTGACACCTTAGTTTCCCTCATGGGCTGTTGTCCTTAGATTCCTACCAGATCACGCCATCATACTACCTGACTCCAAGCTCAGAGGGACAGAGGAGATGCCTCCTGGGTAAACTTCTAAATTCCTGAGTTCAATTCTGGGCTCTTTCTGAAGCTCAAACTAGCATTTATCTAAAGCAATTGGGAAGACTGAGTTACTGCGACACGGAGCAGAGCCTACCACATCAAACATCCGTTCTTCCCCGCACCTCCATGCGCCAGCCCCGTGAGTTCAGGAGCTGGGAGCACTGAGGACTAAGCATACTGCGGGCAGAGGAAAGCTTGGTATGACAGGGTAATAGAGGGCTTCCAGTCATATGCCCTTCTAGAGCAACTCTGGCAACCTAACACTCCCCTGCAATTGGCCTCCTGGCAGAAGCTGTAACAGGCTAGGGCCGGCTGGCGTCAGTGGCCACAGTGGTGCTTGCTGGGCAATGCAACATCCTGGGCCTCAAACCTCCATGCCCCACCTCCCCAAAACTGACAGCCCAAGCGTTACTGTTCCTCTCATGGCCCAGGGAATGCCAGTGCGCCCCCTCTGCCTCCCTGACCAGGGCTGCCAGACCCTCTGGACTTCCAGAACAGCAGCAATCATGGTGCTTGAGCTAAACAAACACCACAGCTACACCCTCATCTTCCAAGGTAACCTGCCATTTCCTGTTTCTCTTTCACCATCACAGTCCAGGGCAAAATTCGCTAAACTCAAAAGAGTTTTCACATCTTTCTCATTCAACTTCCTTCTCTTGCTCCCTAACCCCCTCAAGCAGCTCATGTGAGAATCGGGCACACAGATCAGAAAACTGCATGCTCAGCTGGGCATGGTGGTACACACCTGAAGTCCCAGCTACTCAGGGGACCAAGGGGGGAGGATTGCTTGAGCCAGCAGTTTGAGTCCAGCTTGGGCAGCATAACGAGACCCTGTCCCAAAAAATTTCTTAACTAAGTAAAAAAAAAAAAAAAAAAAAAGAAGTACATGCTCCCTTGTTCCTAAAATTCGACCCTCAGACCACAGAAAGAAGCTGGCAGCCCTCCTCTAGCCAAATGGCATCACTCTGCCAGGCTGGTCTCAGGGTGCCTCCCGCCTCTGCCCCACGTCCTTACCAATTGCTGAATGCTGATGAAGTCCATGGTCCCCCCCCTGCTCTCCACAACCCCCAGTGAGAGGAGCTGAGTTGCTCAGCCCTTTTATAAGAGAGTCTGTCAGGGGCAGGGGCAGAAAGGGAAGGACAGAGGCTTGTGCCTGAGCCAGATGACTCTGTGGCTCTGTCATACTAACAAAAATACCAGTCTGGGAATGTAGCCCACTGGGGACAGGAAAAGGAACTGTTTGGAGATGTGTCTGCTACATCCTCAGACACCTCCTAGTCTGCACCTCTGCCATACCCCATATTTGCTTAGGAGTCACATAACCAATATATATGTCCTGGAGTGACTGGACAACCAGCCCAGATTCAGGGGGAAAAATGTTTCCCATGCTCCTAAGTTAAGACCCTACTCATGAAAAAAGTCCAGCTTGAGCTCCCATGGTGTGGGTCTGGCTGCCTGAGAAACCTCAAAGCCCCTGCCTGGCTCCCATAGCACAAGGAAGGCAGAAACCAAAGGAGGGCCCAGGCAAGGACAGAAGCAGCTTGGCCCACTGCCTCAGGGATCCTCATGGCATCTACAGGAGGAAACCAGGCTTCACCTGGTCTCCCAACTCGCCTGTTTCAAGGCTGCCCTCCCTGTGTTTGATGGTCTCGGTCTCCCTTCCTGGGGTCCCTCACCCTCTGGGAGCCAACAAGTTACGCTGCCCCAGCATCAGGAGCCAGGCCTACTCTGTTGGTACTCCTACCTCTGGAAAAGTCTTCCACGCCCCTTTTCACGTCACTATCAGATGCTTTCCAGGCAGGGAGTGTGCCCTGACCCAGGGAAAAGGAGACTGAGACCCTCTCCTGGTCCCCATATGTAACGATAACCAAGAAATCCAGCCAAGGAGCAATCTGTCTCAAGACACCAACATCAAGTCTCCTAATTCTCCTTAGGAAGCTATGCATGCCCTTCACCCAGCTGTACCTTGAACTCTACCTTGACCTTTGAAAGGAAATCAGATAGCCTGTAAATAAGACTCCAGAACCAGAATAATATGAGCAGAGATGACCAGAAAGAGAGGGAGGGACAACTGTGGGTCGAGAATGACCAAAGGCCCCAAAGGGCTGCCAATGGTCCCACCCACAGGACTGGCTTCTTGGAAGTGCTTCCAAGTTTCGAGAGAACTTAGGGAAGTGCAGAGCTTTTCAAAGAAACTCAGTTCTTATGCTTGAGGGTACTTTTTTCAGACAAAGGTAATTTCTTGCTTTGGTTATGAGGAAGGAAAGTTACCTAAAATGGGGGCAAACAGACAAGAAAAAGTAAAACTTTAGCTCTGGACTCTACTGTCCACTCCTGACTCTAAAATTCCCCTTCTTCAACATTTGAGGAAGAGGGTATTTTGCATTAATAGGCTTCATCTGAAATTCTCAGCAGAAAACCAGCCTGTCCCACATGAAACTAACTGACTTAAAAAAAAAAAAGATTCCTTATTTAAAAAATCAAACATAAATATAATGCTCGAGACGTCTTGCCTCCATGGCCTGGGAAAATCCATGGGTACCAGGGAACATCCTCCCCCCTTTCCCTCTGTATATTTTGTGTATGTACATCCACACATTTCTGCACTTGATCTGTTTCTATAGATGTGTTTTGTTTGGAGAAGCATCATATTGCAGACACACTCTGCCCTTGTTCTACCTGCACACGTCCCGCTCAGCTGCACTATACGCCAGTGATGTGCTTGCTTTCAGGACTCAACCTTTCCCTGTTGGGAAGCAGGTGGCTTGTCCCCATGGTTTTTTTACTTTACATCCCATGCTCCAATGCCCATCTCTGTAAATGCCCCTGTGAATAAATATCTATGTAACCATGGAAGAACATTTCTCCAGGAAGCTACAGAGAAATCAGATTATCAGCCCTGCTCATTTAAATAGATATTGCCAAACTGCCATCTACAGTGGCTATACCAACTTCCACGAACAGATACCAGCAAGTTAAGACAAGTGACAGCATGAAAGAAAAAGAGAAAAAAGATTTTTAAATGTATATAAATATATGTATATATAAAAAAAACAATCAATATCCAGAATATAAACTCCTATGAATCAATAAAAGGGAAAACATTTTTAAAATAGGCATGGGCAGGAAGTTCACAGAAAATAGGTAATTAGGATTAATGATTAGCAACTCGAACTAAAGCAATAGCACTGTCCTACCTACCAGACTGCTGGCAGTAATGGAATCACGCATGAAAGCCCATGCGGGTACAGTGCCAAGGAGCAGGCCCACCTCTGCTTGCCACATGCCAGGCTCTCTCTCAAGCGCTCCCCTGACATTCGCTCATTTAGTCTCCACAATGACTGAGGCAGGCTCTATTACGGTCATTTTCATCTTACAGATGAGAAAACTGAGGGACAGACAGGTAAAGTGACTTGTGCCAAGATCATTCAGCTAGAAAGCAGCTTTTGTCAAATATTCCATATTTTCTTCTAATACATAGTTTTTATATTTAGATCTTTACTCTTGTGATTTTTTTTTTGCATGTGGGATGAGATAAGGATATAACTTTATTTTTTCCAAATGGATAGATGTCTCACATGAACTCATTTAGAATATGATCATCTGTCTAGGCTTAAACACTTCCAGCCCCACCAAGCCTACTCCCTCGCCTCCACAGTAGCCAAACTGGGGCTCTTCCTGTGTCTTCTAGCCACAGCTTCCTGCCCTGCAGCACGGATGCTGACCAAGGCAGGGGCTTGGAGAGCTGGTCTGTGTACCCTTCAAGGGCAGCCCAAGACAGGAGAGTGGTGACTCAGCTGGCCAGAAGGTCCCGCAGGTCACTGTTGCAGGGCAGCAGGTCACATGCTAGCCGTGCCTTCCGATCCCGGACGGCCTTCAGGGCTGGGCTGTGTTGCAACAGGAGGGAGCAAATGTCCACGTGTCCCTTCTCAGCAGCCTGTGGAGAGAGTCCCAAATCAAAAGGCATGCCCCCCATTGGGCTCTGCTCTTTCCTGCTCCTATTCTGGGGACCTCTTGCTCCTAAAAAAGAGGTTTTGTGGAAATAGAGACACTGGCTGTTTGAGTATATTTCTACCAAATCCCACTGACTTTATGCAGATTGGTGGAATACTCTAGTGCCATCCGGTAATTAGCCTGAGTTTTTCTTTCTTGTGTCCTTTGCCCAGTGGCCATTCTTGTCTTTGGTCTGACTTACATGTTAAAGACAAGCACAGAACCTTGGATCTCTAAGCGTCTTTCACAAACATTCACATGTCATCCACAAGGCGCTGGGCACAATATACACCAGACACAGCCCTGCCCTTTGGCAACTTTTAGATGAGCAGGGAAAGACCGGGGCCCAGGTTCCCAGCTTTCTCCTCTTCTTCTTTAAGACAGATGACCCCCTCCCCCTTGACCAGCCGCAGTGGCTCACGCCTATAATCCTAGCACTTTGGGAGGCCGAGATGGGCAGATAGCTCAAGATCAGGAGTTTGAAACCAGCTTGAGCAAGAGCGAGATCCCATCTCTACTAAAAATAGAAAGAAATTAATTGGCCAACTAAAAATATATAGAAAAACTTAGCTGGGCATGGTGGTGCATGCCTGTAGTCCCAGCTACTTGAGAGGCTGAGGCAGGAGGATCACTTGAGTCCAGCAGTTTGAGGTTGCTGTGAGCTAGGCTGACGCCACGGCACTCTAGCCCTGGCAAGCAGTGAGACTCTATCTCAAAAAAAAAAGACAGATGACCTCAGTCTGGACATCAATTTATAACCGCCCCCTCCAAACAGATTATCTTATTTAACTTTCACAATAAAACTCTGAGGTAAGAACCATCATTGCTCTCATTTTACAGATGAAGAAGTTTAGGCTTATATAAGTTAAGTAACTTGCCCAAGGACATAAAGCTAGTGTGGCAGCCTAGGATTCTAAACCAGGTTTGTCTGACTTCAAAGTCTAACCTCTTAATAACTTTGATAACCACTGTATTCCCTATTCCTCCCAACAGACAAATTGATGGACTACAGGGGCTTTTGAGAAGTATCAAAATTAATACTAGTAGCAATTACTATACCAAATTTGAACCCAAATCTTTATTTATTTATTTTTTTAATTTTTTTTGAGACAGATTTAATTTTTTTTTCGCTCACAGCAACCTCAAACTCCTGGGCTCAGCGATCCTACTGCCTTAGCCTCCCGAGTAGCTGGGACTACAGGCATGAGCCACCATGCCCAGCTAATTTTTTGTATATATATTTTTAGTTGTCAATTAATTTCTTTCTATTTTTGGTAGAGACGGGGTCTCGCTCAGGCTGGTTTCGAACTCCTGACCTTGAGCAATCCGCCCGCCTCAGCCTCCCAGAGTGCTAGGATTACAGGCGTGAGCCACTGCGCCCGGCTCCAAATCTTTATTTAATGAATTTTCTTTTTTTTTAGAGACAAGGTCTCGCTGTGTCACCCACAATGGAGTGCAGTGATGCAGTTGTAGCTCACTGCAACCTCAAGATTCTGGGCTCAAGCAATCCTCTTGCTTTAGCCTTCTGAGTAGCTACAGGCCTGTGCCACCTCACCCAGCTAACTTTTTCTGTAGAGACAGGGTCTTGCTATATTGCCCAGGCTGGTCTTGAATTCCTGCCCTCAAGCAATCTTCCCACCTCGGCCTCTCAAAGCACTGGGATTACAAGCATGAGCCACTGCACCTACTGAGCAGGTCCTCTTGGTGACTACAGACCCAAGGTTCTGAATTTCAGTGCCTCAATTCAGGCAGTGATAATGTTGTAAGCAGTTATGAGATGTACTCCAAATATACTTTTACAAAAAGTAAAGTACCAAATAGTGTATTTAAAAACACACACACATACACACAAAAGAACAATTCATATCCCTCACACATTTTCATTCTCTGAATGAGAGAAAAATAGATGGAGATGCATCTAAAATGCTACAAGTTGTGGGTTACACCAGCCAGGTATACCCACAGCAGCAACCTGCCTGTAAATATCCACCATGTGAACTGTAGCGGTAAAGAGTCTGAGCAACACCAGTGTAGACCATTAAGAAACAAACAATCCGCCTATCCAATTGGCAAGGATTAAAAAACAACCTAATATCCAGCTGTTCACTCAGCACAAATCCATTGAGCACCTGTACTAAGTGCTAAGGCTATAACAGTAAACAAAGTCCCAGCTGTCTCTAATGAGAGAGACAGACCTCAAATAGGGGATTGTAAAGTAGAGAGGAGTTAAGAACAGTTGAGCCCAGGGTGCACACAGCTAGGCACACATCTGGGAGAGCTACCATGTTTGGGGATCAGAGAAGGATATCTGGGGGTGTGATGTGTAAATTGAGATCCAGAAGGAAGGGTAGAAACAAGCCAGCTGAAAAATGGGAGGGGAAAGGCATCCAGATAGGAGAAGAGTTTGTAATGCATGCCCCTTGGGTGACAGAACAATAGGTTCAAGAAAATAAAAATGACTAGCAGGGCCTGAGTATAAGGTACAAGGGGATGACAGCTCAGGATAAAACTGGAGAGGAAGGCAGGAGCTGCCCCCATCTTGTAAATTGGCTTATGGACTTGGGAAAAGAAAGCCTCTGAAGGGTTCCAAGTGGGAGAATGGCATGATCAGAACTGCTTTCTAAAATACTGCTCTGAGAGAAGATCCCCAGGAGGGCAAGAGAGGACTATATTTACACACATATTGTTAAATATGCAGAGACCACCTCTCAAAGATGCATAAGAAATCAGTAAAGTGAATGCCTCAAAGGAGACGGTCTAGAAGACTGAGGGATGAGGGGTCAGGTGGAAGGGAAACTCATTTTCATGGCATATCCTTTTGTACTCCTCATATTTTTTACTGCATATCAGTATTTCCAGTTAGAAAGAGTTTAATTAAATGATTACTCTGGCTATACCACAGAAGGTGTTCCACAGGGACAGGCAAGAGTAGGTCCAAGTTTCAGAAAACTAACTACATGGAAAAGTCTTCATGACTTATCACTAAGGGAAAGAACAATAAAATGGCACTGTACATTTTAATTTTAATTTGCACACACAGGAAAAAAGCTGGAAAATCACACATTAATCCTAAAGTGATGACAGGTGAGCACTGAGATTACAAATGATTTTATTTTCTTCTCCATGTGTTTTTGTTCTCACCATGTTTTCTACAGGAACATGTTACAACTTTTAGAATAAGAAAAGAAGGGGGAAAAGAGCATACCTTATGTAGACTGGTCATGCCATCGTCGTCTACCAGCCTGGGGTTGGACCCGTGTGCAAGCAGCAGCCGTGCGATTTCAGTGTGCCCACAGTAGCTGGCACGGTGCAGAGCAGTGGCACCCCCATGGGTTTGGGCATCACATTTGGCTCCACTTTCCAGCAGGAACTGGCACACAGCATAGTGCCCATTGCGGCTGGCGTAGTGCTGCAGGGAATGGAGACCCAGGTCAGACAGCAGAAGCCAGG